AAAATTACATATATTCTATAATAACTTCACTTCTGATACTTCTGATAATTTAAAAGCAAGTACTCAAGCGTAAATGTTGACTGAATACCTCTACACAAGTAATATTTAACCATGAGTATTTCTGCTTTTACTCGAGTGTAACACTTGTCTTACACAACAATTAAGAAGTTGTGTACGTTGTCCACTCTGCTCCTTGCTGACCATCTAAGCCCAAAAGAGTTCAGGAACAAAGTATTTTTCGGCAAAATCCTTTATTGGATTTGAGAGGCTTAAACGCTTGGACAAGTTTAGTTAGTCAACAGAAATATGCCTGTATCTGTTTTAGTTGTTGACGTTAGCATTTTAAACCTTTACTTAAAGTTCTCTCTTCATACAGCCATTCATCTGGTTCTCGACTGATCAGAACCTACAGTTTATCCCAGGTGCTTTCACTTACAGTATTGTTTATAGTTTTGCTCTTCGTATTATAAGTACATATTTCATTATATATTGCACTACATCTTTTAGCATGAAGTATTGCTAATATTATGAATTTTAAGACTTAACTATGGCTCACATACTTTACTTTTTTCTTTACTTTGCAAAACTGCTGCATGAAAGCCATAGAGCTTTCAAGGTTGTGTGCTGTTGTGAAAAACATTGTCCATTGTTATTCACAATGCCATCTCTTGCATTTACCTTTTCTTTTTCTTGTTGTTAATTAGTGTATTTATTTTTCATATAGTCCACTTTTCTGGATTATGTTTTGTCTGGTGAGTGTTTATTACTAATTTTGCTTACTTTTCCTTCATATTTGATGCAGCCATGAAGAATCCACCCTCACAAGCTGGAAGTGACAAAGAAATTTACCAGAGACCTCCACGTCTGTTAAGGGGTGAGTACATTCAGCGCAGTGAGGTGGGCTTCAGATGTTCATTGTCTTGCTGTCTGTCTCTCCGTCTCTCCCACATACATGTATACACTCACTGGCCATTTTAAAGTTCTCCTAACTTACAGAGTGCAGTCTGTCTGTTTCTCTGCATACCTTTTAGCCCCCTTTCACCTTGTTCTTCAATGGTCAAAACCCCCACAGGACCACCACAAAACAGGTATTATTTGGGTGGTGTATTGGACACAACAGTGATGCTAGAGTTTTTAAACACTTTCACTGTCCACTCTATTAACCACTCCTACCATGTTGGTCCACCTTGTAGATGTAAAGTCAGAGATGACAGCTCATCTGCTGCACAGTTTGTGTTGGTCGTCAGGTGATCGTCCTTCATCACTGGTCACAGGATGCTGTTGGCATTTTTTTGGTATTCTCACTCCAGCAGTGACACTGAGGTGTTTAAAGCATTGCTGTATCTGATACACTGGTACCAGAACCACACATACTACCATGCCAGTGTCATTGCAGTACTGAGAACGAAATAATGATAATACCTGCTCTGTGGTGGTCCTGGTTGGGGTCCTGATCATTGATGACAAAAGGGTTAACGAATTATGCAGAGAATCAGATCAACTACAACCTGCCACTGCAGAACTACAAAGTGCATTTATAGACTAAATCCCATGTGCCAAACACAAGGTCTGTGGGCCAAGTCAGGCCTGTGATGCAGTCCTGTTCGGCCCTCGAAATTATTTCAATTTTCTATTCTTATTAGCCTGTTTCACCCCGAGATGCACCAGTTAATGTAAATTGTTCTATGCCACATTAAGTGACTAGTGCTTTAGTGAATTGAACAAGGAATACAATAATAAACATGTAAATGTACAATGATAATAAACAAAAAAATAAATAAAAAGACGCAGCCATAAAAGACATTATAAAATATACATATCCACAGTATGTAACCACTGAGTATATACAACATACATCTTCACACAGTGTATATATCAGGGTAATGTGTGTCAGACTTAAAAGCACAGTAACAAAACCTGTCCAAATGTAGTGGACAGGACAGAAACATATTTTAGCCCCATAAAATGAGGGCTAAGACAGTATTTGGCTCTGTCCCCCTTACCCTAACACTAAGAACCGTCCAGTGATTCTCCTCATTTGTGAGAATCTGGTGAAAGGTTGATTAAACCATGTGGTTCAAAAGGGAGTTTATCATATTATTTCTAATATTTTGGTCATATAATTATAAAAAGTCCCAATTAGATTATGTATACGTGTAGGAAAATTACATACAACCAAATTAGTTCAAAAGGATGGAACTATACAATATTATTTTAGACCATCTTTATCTTACTATATATAGTTGTTGGACATGAATGGATCCTCTTGTATGTATTCTTTTAATACTTATTTCATATTACTTATCATTTGTCATGGCTTGAGTGTAGTGAGTTATTTTATAGCTGAAGAACTTGAGACCTGCAGATGGTTTCATCTACAGGACTTTATGTTATGTTCACTGTGCTCTGTGTTTATCTCCTATGGGTGTTTATCCACAGTTTAGCCCCTAGATGGCGATGTTGCTTTATTAACTGAGAGAAGAGAAATGCTCTCAGTTTTCAGTTTAGTTCCACATCCCTGCCTTTATGCTTATTCCAGTGTTGTAGTGAAGACCACCTCAGTCAAGACCAAGGCAAGACTAGAAACAGACACTAAGAGAATTAGGAGATGTAGCAGGAGCTGTTTATTCACGGTGAAACAATACAGTACAGCACAAAAATACACAGCTTTAAGAGCCTCTATATGTGGCATTAAAGAGCTTAAAATTAGCTTCCACTATGTGGGATTAAACAAGTACTGGTGCTTCTGCCTACTGAGCCTCCTACAGTGTTTAATAACAAGTTTCTTTTGAGCAAATATTTAGGTTTGTAGCATCAGACTACAACTTCTTCAACAAACATAATAAAACAAGCTATGAAAAGTTAAAATATAAAGCATTTGTAAATCTTAAGAAACCCCTTAAAAAATATGTTATGCTGTTGTTTGATTTCTCAAATATTTGAAAATTAAAGTAATGCAAAAAGCATTTTCCAACACCAGGAACATTTTCCTATTTAAACCAAAGAAGTAAAACAATATACAATTATTACAAAATAGAAGAATATGCAGATTACAGAATAGAAAGTTCAAAAAATATAGAAATTCAAAGAAGAAAAAAATATCACAAGAATACTTTCAGGATCAATAAAGTACATCTATTTAACCTTCTTTAACATAGAAAGCTAACTTAGCTAACCTAGCGAGCTAACCTGCCTGGAAATTGTTGGCTTGTGTTAATATGTCTCTATGTTTAATGTATTAATGTTTTATATGTACATGTGGTTTCAAATATTGTGAATGAGGAGGTTATAGTGAAGGCCAGATCGTATAGATCAGAGGTCACTAATAGGCGGACCGCAGTCCGAGTCCGGACCCAGACGCTGTCCTATGCGGACCTGGACCTGTAACTGACAAAAACTATGGAGAATTATTTAATTTTGACCAGGTGGTCCTATTTTAAACGGCCTAGCTTTTCTAGCCTTTATGGTACCGCTCTAGCAGCCAGGGAAACTCACAGACCAATCGCACGCATTGTAAATATCACACGTGACGCTACTCAGCCAATCAGATCTGTGCATTACGATGAGCACTGAGAGTCGAGTGAGTGACGCACACAAAGGAGAGGGACGAGGTGAGAAACATCAGTCGGAGAAGAAAGTGAGTCAGAGGGAAGTTATTTCACATGGCGTGATCTAAAAAGAGAAAACTGACAATAAATGTTGTTGAAATATGACTGAATTGTACTTTATTTGATTTGACATTAAGTTGTTGACTGTATAAGATGTTGATATACCTACAAGGCTACTTCAGTAAACAGTATATGGCACTGAATCATGAAGTAAGTATAGACATTATGATGTTCTGGACCTTTGCTTGAGGAAATTTTCTCTAACTGGACCTGATCAAATTTTAATTAAAGACCCCTGGTATAGATCAATGAGGAAGAACAATGAACCTTACAAAGTACAGATTTGACACAGTTAGAGCTGGGAGTGAAGGAGAGCTGCAGCGTTTCTGTACTGAGCTGCCTAATCAAAGATATCAGCTGCCAGCACTGACAAAAAAATGAGTTTAAATCGGCGGCTGCAGAGCTCTGTTAGGTCAGGCTGCTTCTGCAATATCAGTAAACTTCTGGACTTCTGCTGTGGTAATGTTCTGGCGCCTGCCTGCCACTAAAGGTGACTGCTGCATTATTTAAGGTGGAAAGGATTTGAATGAGAAGCCAACTTCATTCTCCTCCTTATCCTGGCTGTTCCAAGCCGTGTGGATGCTCTTGAATAAACAGACCCTTCGTTCTTGGGCTGTTGAAAGTTATGAAACAGAAATGATGGCGTACAGCACCACCTCTGAGCATGAATCAACCGGAAAGTGTCGAAACATCGCTTTTGGGAATATGACGGCTGTAGACATGAACGCAGGTGTTTGCTATAAGGCCTGAAGCTACGCAGACGGGGTTTCACGTGTAGTTGCGTTCAAAAATGTGTCAAGACGCATTTCATAACGTGATGTAAGCTGCTCAGTTTTCTAAATGTATGCACTACATCAAGGCTAGCATAATACCTGACATCACAGAATCTGAACAAGCTTTTAACATTTTGAGAAAAGATTCTTGAGCGTGATGTACGTGATATAGTATAGGAGTGAACTGAATCCGTAACAGAGGAGAACCACTGAATCAGTGATGGAGGAAGGAACTGAATCAGTAACAGAGGAGAGAACTGAATCAGTAACAAAGCAGGGAACTGAATCAGTGATGGAGAAATGAACTGAATCAGTGACAGAGGAGGAAAGTGATTCAGTGATGGAGGAGGGAAGTGAATGAGTGATGGAGGAGGGAACTGAATCAGTGACAGAGGAGGGAACTGACTCAATAACAGAGCACGTTACTGACTCAGTAATGGAGGAGGGGAGTGAATCAGTGATGGAGGAGGAAAATTAACCAGTAATAGAGGAGGGTACTGAATCAGTGACAGGAGGAAACTGAATCAGTAACAGGAGAAAACTGAATCGGTAACAGAGGAGAGAACAGAAAAAGTAACAGGAGAGAACTGAATCAGAAACAGTAACGGGAGAGAACTGAATCAGTGACAGATGAAGGAACTGAATTAGTAACAGGAGACAACTGAATCAGTAACCGAGTAGCAGAGGAGGGAACTGAATCAGTAACAGAATAGAAAACTGAATCAGTAACAGAGAAGGGAACTGAATCAGTAACAGAATAGAAAATTGAATTAGTAACGAGGAGAGACCGGAAACAGTAACAGGAGAGAACAGACACAGTAACAGAGTAATCGGTGAAAGAAGCTAAAATAATCCCAAAGTTATTGGTTGGATGAAAAGGTTTTGAGCTCCATATCATTGGGCAGTAAACTAGTGCATTCTTCAGGCTGAGCAGTGAAGTTGTGAGAGGGCTGGTCAATTGATTCATCAATGGGCTGGTCACGGGATTTGCCAGGGTGCTGGCTGTTGGAATCGCCAGGGGGCTGGCCATTGGATTCCCCAGAGGGCTGGCCATTGGATTCATCATGGGGCTGGCCATTGGATTCGCCAGGGGGCTGAGCAGGCGGCTGGAGAAGCAATAGAAACAAGACATAGATAACAATAATGACAATGAGAATATTATATTGAGGAGATGATACCAAATTGCGCATGTTTTAAGTGTTTAAGTATTTCACCCTCTACAGTGCATAATGTGATTAAAAAAGATTCAGAGAAATCTCTGATCAACAAGGTCATCAGTGTGATCGGTTATTAATCTCAGTGTTACTGAGCTCTGCTAAAGCCTGAGTAGACTGATAAATCAATGTGATGATCAGTTATTAATCTCAGTGTTACTGAGCTCTGCTAAAGCCTGAGTAGACTGATAAATCAATGTGATGATCAGTTATTAATCTCAGTGTTACTGAGCTCTGCTAAAGCCTGAGTAGACTGATAAATCAATGAGGTGATCAGTTATTAATCTCAGCGTTACTGAGCTCTGCTAAAGCCTGAGTAGACTGATAAATCAGTGTGATCAGTTATTAATCTCAGTGTTACTGAGCTCTGCTAAAGCCTGAGTAGGCTGATAAATCAATGTGATTATCAGTTATTAATCTCAATGTCACTGAGTTCTGCTATAACCTGAGTAGACTGATAAATCTTTGTGATTATCAGTTATTAATCTCAGTGTTACTGAGCTCTGCTAAAGCCTGAGTAGACTGATAAATCAGTGTTATCAGTTATTGATCTCAATGTCACTGAGCTCTGCTAAACCAGGGTAAAGAAGGGCAGACAGTTGGGGCCTAACAAACTTTTGTGCCCAGAGACTGATAACTTGACGATCTGGGTCTGAAAAACTGGCATGCTTCTGTGATGAATATTACCATCAGCATTTGTCTTTTTCAGAAATGTTTATGAAATGTTTATTTCGACATGACAGTGCCAAGAAACAATCTGCACTTGGCTGTGTAATCAGAGAGCATAGACTGGCCCGCATGTCTCCCATTGATAACATGTGCCACATTATGAAGAGCAAAATACATTAATTAACTGTGCAACTGAAGACTCGTGTAACAGAAGAATTGCAAAAGACTCTGCTTTCAAAATCGGATCAGTTTGTGTCTTCAGTCCTTAAACCTTCATTAAGTAATATTAATCCCCAGGATTAACAGCATCAACTTCCTCACATTTGGGAAATGTTTTAGTTATCGGAGACTCAATCATCAAACAGCTAAAGTTGACTCTAATGAAAGACAACGCCTTTATCTCCTTTTTTCTGGGTTCTCATTGCATTTGGTAAAAACATTGACATTTGTGCTGAACACCCAGGAGTGAGTGACATACCCAGTCATCAGAGTGAGCTACTTAAAGAACTATTTCAGACGCCACTAGACAGTATAAAGAAAAAAAAACAACAGCCAACCTATTTATATCAGATCCTCTACCCACCTACAGGATAGAAAGTGAAACTTTTTGCACTTAACGGCTGATTGAAAGACTGGTCTCATAATAACGGCATGGCTCTTATTAACAAGTGGGACATGTTTTTGGGAAAGACTTATTGGAGAGGTGGATTACATCCAAGTCACTGAGGATCTCTGTTTGTAGTGTAGAACTTTGAGAAGGTTTTAAATCAAGCCTGACCTGAAAAACTAGATGTAAGCAAACCAGTCAGTAGCCTGTGCAACACAAACTCTCACTCCCCTTATCATGCTCTGTATCGTATACTTGTCTTAATAACCTACCATAAGGCTGTGGCTCCTTCATGGTTTAATAATGGTTTAATATTTCACTATATACAAAATACGCAAAAAATAAGCAAAAACCAGTAAAACATATAAACAAAAATGGATAAACACTTAATTTACAAATTAAACTTCAAAATGCCTCAGAAAGTCTGCATCCTTTTGGGTATAATATGTTTTTATGTTTCTGATCGTTGGGGAAAATATTATGTTTAGAATTTCTTACTGTGGCATCCAACTAATACCCTGTCCAGTGCAGAAGTACAGGATGTTAGATATAATAGATTATATCTATTATTATTATTATTATGTTTTAATGAATTGTTTAAAATCCAATTGTATTAATAACCTCATGAAATTCTCTTATTTCTATGAAATATTGCGAGGTAACAAATATCTACTAAAAATATACCAGCATAAATGTAAGCAATACGTTTGTTCTACATTTCATTTATAATGCATATTTGTTCCCTGTGGTTCTTTATGGATGTAAAAGCTGGTGTTGTTGAAGATTTTAGAGGGAACCTTGGACAGCAAAGAAAACAAACCAAATCAAGCCTCGCCTCTCACTCAAAGCCCAGATAATCTGAAGCTCTTATATTGGACATGCCTGAGTTTAAAATAATAATGAATATTCTGTAAAATTCATGTACTGGTTACCTAATAAAAATCCATAATTACCTTTTTTGTTGTTTGGATATGCATTTGGGAATGAAACTAGGTTATAATAAGATTTTTTTAATCTGTAAGTAATTACCCCATTAGTGCAATCTTTCATTTTTAAATGTCCTATCTAATTGCTCTGTGCCTTGAGCTATTAAGCTACACTGTAACACAACTAACAGCATATTTCACTCATAAAGTGTGATCAGCTTTAATCAGTCCACATTCTTTTGAAGGTGAATGTGCATGCCTGAAAAGCTCTACATAAGAAAAACCTGGCAACCTTGAATGGATGACCCGCACATGGATCATTCATTTCAGTCATCTGCATTCCTCCAACCAGAAAATCAACTTAAGCACCACCGTAGTACGAGTCTGAATTCGTTATCTGTTGATGTATCTTTTGAATTAAATGGCTGACTTCAGTTACCGACTCTGTATACAGCCCTTATCAGTTATCAGGTAAATATAAACTATAAATACTGAAAATATAAACCAGTGAAACATCTCACTGTATAAAAATACCAAGAAAAACCAAGAACACAAGAAAATGCAAAAGAACAGTTGAAAATGATTCTGCTTACACCTGTGACAGAGCTAACAGAAACACACTGATACATTCTTGGATGCAACAACAGTTAAATGATCCTGTAAGCTGTTTGTTCTAAATTGAATTTAACTGAATTTTAACTGAATCTGAAGTGTATGGCTCAGCAGTCTGAGTTAGTCATTAGGATTTACATCTGTTTATTTTTTTATCAATTTATTAATAATTTACTGAACTTCTAGATTGCTCAGACAGCTATCATGACTGCAAACAAATGACCCCTGAGAAGAACAGACCTGTTCTGAGGCCATACATGATTCACAGCATGCGTCACAATATCTGCAACAGCCACAGTGACAGCATGCGTTACAGAACTGATAAATCAGCACTCCAAGGAAGGTGATGGAGATGATAATAAAAACTGCCATCTGGAAGAAAAGAGAGTATTGTCAGTATTGTCTATATAGAATTTCCAGTCAAAACGTCCAGTAAGTACAAAGTATTCATTTTCCAGTGTCAGGAAAACAAGCAGAAAACACACTAAACAGAAAATCATTCAGCAATTACATATAATATTGTTAATATGTAGTGTGTCCACCCTTTACTTTTATAACAGCTTCCATTCTTTTCAGGAGCCTCACTTTCAGTTTCTCAAAGAATCTGCAGGCACACCTCCAAAGTTCAGCATTGTTTGAGCTTAATTTCACATTATTCAATGCTCTACTAAAGGAAAAAGTAAAACTCCTGTTATTGTATGCACTGGCCTGATACATTTTGTTATTCAGACAAGAAGGTAGTATATTGCTAACTGACCCACACAAAGTTCTCTGTTTCTCCTTTTGTTGTGTGCGCAAGGGGATTTGAAAGGTCTTCGTTGTGTACCAGGTTACATAATCAAACACATTCAGTGGTGTTGAGGTCTGGACTCTGGGGTGGTCAGTCCATTGTTCAGCTTCTTTGTTTGATGTGTCCGTCTCCTTTTCTCAGTGAGGTTCTTCTTGACAGCTACACATCCTTTCAGACCCACAGCGCTGAGTCGTCTTCTCACAGTGGAAGGATGGACAGAAACACCTGTGGATGTTTTCAGATCTGAAGCAGCTTGATTTTCTCCTCTCTCTCAAAGATGAAAGCTTTGAGTGCTGTTTATCTGATGGGGGCAGTTTTGGTGTCTACCAGGTCTTCCAGGTGGTTGTTAGGGGTCCTATTTTTTCTTTAGCTTTTAATTAGTTTTTGAACTCCAGTTTTGGCAACTTGTGTTTTTTCACTTATTTTCCTTTGACTTTCTCCTTGCTTATGCAAGTGGGATTATCTTTTATCTAATCTACTCAGAAATTTCTCGAAAAAAATAAATAACGTACTTAACACATACTTTAACTGGTATACTAAATACATGGAGGTTGGTGTCTGACTTTTGTGATGAATACTGTAACCAGGAAAAGTTGTCCAACCAGGCACAATTAAAAGCTTTCTTTAGTGCTGAAGTACTGAGGTGGATACTAAGCCAATCTTATTTACTTTGAAAATCTCTTTGCCTCCCTTCTCACTGTTCTATTCATGATTTCATTTTACAAACTTAACTCATGTAATATCATTTTTTGAGGAAAAAAAACAACAACTAAATGCCAATTGTGCTATTTTGTTTTTGAAGCATTAATGCTAGTTAGGTAACACGTTTGCAGAATGAGAAGTTATTAACTGCAAAGTGTCCCTCTAATTGGAAAATAACTAATGCCTTTGCTTTAGTGGTCTAAATTTAATTTTTGGTAGGCTACAAGTGGTTAGCGCCTAACATAAGCATTAGCATTACTCTGACTGCTCTAAAGTCGGTGCTTGAGATGTAAACAGTTATTGGAGTGGTTTGTTGTGAAATGGTTCATTGTAGATACTCCGCCAGGGGTTGCCATGACTACAATACAAATATAGCCATTTTATTTATTATCTACTATCCATTATGTGGAATGTTGATGATGGTAAAATCTAGTAAATTAAAAATATGTTTAGAGTACTTATACTTGTTTCTCTGTTTGTTGCTTGTTCATGTATCGCTGTGCATGTATTGTTTGTGTATGTTGTGAATTTTTGTGCTTTGCTAGTTCTTGCTTTGTTTTCTGTAGTCTAGTTCATTTTATTTCTGTCTATTATTTCTGTTTTTTTGAACCTTCATGCTCTTTCTGTTTTTGCCTGTTTTACAGAAAGCATGGGCTTCAATAAACAACACAACTCGCAACTGCATCCTGGATTCTTGTATCATTACATGTCTCTCCACAACGAATGGCTTTTAGAAAGTGTGTATCATAGGCCATTTACAATGTACATGTACATTATGTATGTTTAGGACGTCTCAGGCATCAGGGAACGTGTCTATAACCATTTTGTGTAATAACTTCATTTTTTTAAGAGGCATCAAACTCACAGCATTTCACACCAAACCATTCTGAATGACAGTATTTGCGCCTCAATAATTTAATTATGCAGAAATCCTGAAAAATCAGTGGAATTCTCCTTCAGATATGAGTAGCTTACCTTAGATATGTAAAATGAAATCTGTACATGATTCTGCTCATCGGTCAGTGTTCGGTTTTTGTCACACCATTCCCACGGAGGCAGCGCAATGGTGTCAACATGATCTTCTTGTAGTGGGGTTATCACACAGGCCAGAAATCTCCCATCACCAAAAAACAGGGTCACCCAAAAAACAGATGGAACTGTGCAGGTGAGAAATTTCCCACAGCATCTACAAAAGTATTTGCAACCACTCTGACTCTGAGGCTCAGACCAGAGTTTGGAGTTCCACATGTAAAAGCCAAAGTTCAGAGTCATCAGCAGGGGCATCGCCAGGTACAAAGAGAAAAATGCCTCTGAATATCCAGGTCTACAAGGGCACACAAAGTCGTGCTCGACAAGTTTTTCTAAAACAATGAGAACAAGGTTGACTATCACGTAATTACGCCACGGGTGGTCTTTTAAAAGTTCAATCAGTCTCCCCAGAGCCATTTCTAAAGAATGTAACACAAAACACAGAATCTAACTAGTCCTTTAGTGCCAAGATCAGCTTTAAGACTGATACAACCTGCTCTGCTACACTAAGCTGAGATCACGTTTGTACAAGAGAAAACCGGAAGCTGTGTCGTCATCACAGACAGGTACTGCTGGTAATGCTTGTTGATGCAGAATTTAATGATATTTGGTGATCATGCAGACTCAACTTTTTAACTAAATTGCTAGGGCTGCTTGAGTCCAGAAATTTTGGAGTCGACTTTGATTCTGATACTGAGCATCAGATATTGATACAGTTGATTCCAAGAGTTGATTCCCCACAATAACCTTGGTTTCAAAAACCAAGACAGTAACACATTACAATGCTGTTTTGTAATTAGTGGGTAACTAATTAGGAATGAATAAGTAGCGCTTCATTAACACTTAACATTAACACTTAAGTAGTTAATATTAACTGTTTCTGTCCTTTATTAGGAGTTAATAAAGATCTTCTGGAACAACATTATAAAGTTTTACTGCTAATTATCTTAGCGCACATTAGCTAAATTAACTAGCTAACGTGCACTCAGAACAGAAGATGAGCAGCAGCTTTAGGTTTAATAAAACACTAACATGGTTATTGTTCTAAAACAAGACAGTAAAACAAAAGTCCTTTATCTGTGTCAGGGGTCTCACAGTAGCAGTCTGGGGGTCTGCCATGAGTCTGATTAACTAATCACACAGTGAGATACGGTGAGATACATCAGACTAATCCACTGAGAACGCTAAATAAGCCGCTCTCCATTCACAGCACTCGCAAATACTCATAGAGCTCTGTGCAACTCTGCTGTTAAATGTAAGTTTCTTTAACTCAATAGAACTCTAAAATATTTATTATTTTAAATGTCAGACTCTCTATGCATTTAAACAACAACAATAATAATAGTAAAACTAAATATAGCCGCAAGTTGCGATTTGCGGGGTCCAAGCTTGCTTTACAAGTTTGCCCAACATTGCTATTTTGGCCACAACCCTCCTTGAGTACATCAGTAAAGATTCGTACATATATATGTAATGGAATTGTCATTGAAAAATTTTAAGGCAAACGCAGCCTTTATCTTGACAGACTTTACACCAAAATGTGTATGTTTTTTGGTCTACTTATTGGAAATATTAATTTTATAATGTGTTGAATTGGACTCATGAGGCAATCAGACGGGGTACATATGAGCTGGTTTGGTAACTTTAACTGCAAATTACTTTAAAATGCTGCTATAGTTCGTCTTGATCCTTGGTATGTTCATAGTACGACATACTTTAAATTAAAGGCTGCTGTTTTGGTGGTCTACTTCTTGGTAATACTCATATGAGCCAGTTAGAAGGGTTGCAAATATAGCAACTTAATGAACTGATTTGGCAACTTTGGCAGTAAATGATGTTTACATGGTGCAGTAGAATGACTTCTTCTTTGGTTTGTGCATAGTATGACACACTGAAGCAATATCTGGAGATTTTTTTGGAATACATATATGAAATTATTGTTTTACAATGTGATGAACTTGCATATATGTTCAAAGTGTGGAATGATTGTTTTAGCACCCCCTATTACCATATGCCCACTAAACTTTACACCTTGTTTCAATGTTAGGCATTGAGCAGGTGTACCACGTTTGGTGTCAGTCAGACAATGCCTTATTGTCATAGCACTGCTGTCATGAAAATACATGTAGATCACAATGTTCGATTCCCGGTACAATTTATTCAAACGCATGTATGAGCAAAGAGGTTTAGTCTGAATACTAAAAGTATTTTGTCAACATTTGCATTTCTTTAATGTAAATGAGTGGGAGATATGTTCATTTTACATAATTTATATATGATTACATGTTGTAGTACCCCCTGGAGGTCAGGTTAGACCACAATTGGCATGCTTCCTCAGAGTATGATTCTGTATGTCTGTACCAATTTTGGTCTCAATCTAACAATGTATGTGTGAATTACAAATAATGGACTCCGCCCAGACGAATTCATTGACATCAACAGGTAGGTCATCTTCATCTGCTGGGGCATCAACAGACAAGTCATCTTCATCTGCTGGGGCATCAACAGGTGGGTCATCTTCATCTGCTGGGCCATTAACAGGTAGGTCACCTTCGTCTACTGGAGCATGAACAGGCAGGTCATCTTGGTCTGCTGCGGCATCAACCTGCATGTACTGGAGCATCAACAGGTAGGTTTTTATCACATCTCTCCTAGGTATTTCATGAATAGTTGTAAAGCTTGTGGATTTCATGGCAGGTTGTTCTCTGATTCGGTCACATATAATGTCGTCTTCAAGATCAGGACCCAAATCCATCTCTTTGTGTTCAACAAACTGCCATGTCCTGGGCCTGTGTGGGGTCAAGCTACAAGAAAGTAGAAGAACTCTGTGCACAGCCTGCAAGGGACCATCCATATTTTCTGGTCTAATGGCATAGACTGAAAGATTTACTGTTTGCTTTACTACTATATGAATACATGACTCCCATTTATCTACAAGTTTATGCTTACCTCGAAGACAAACAGCTCGCACCAAAACTCTGTCACTGAGCTCCTGCATGTACTATGAGTGAGATGTGCACTATTTTTCTGTGGAAGCCAAAGGCCAGATCAACAGGCAACCTTGGCTGGAATGTACCCGGTAACATTGTTTCACAAAATTCCGCCATCATGATTTGTCTTCATCTTTCAGTGTCCCAAGCATGTTCAGCAGGGTCATATTAAATTGTTCCATAGGATTTTATGGATTTCCATGATCTGGCATAACTCTGATATTGCAAGACTCAAAATCTGGACCTTGGTCAGGAATGCCATAATGGACTATACATTTGTGCTACAGATATTTGCAACAGTTTGGGCCTTCTGGTTTGGCATCAGGATCGCTATGGCATACTTTGTAAAATAATCAGTGATTACTAGGATATCTTTTGTATTGCCACTATCCGGTTCTAGGGACAAGAAATCAGTACAAACAAGCTCAAGAGGTCTGGTTGAGCGAATATTCTTCCATGGTGCAGCTTTCTCTGGCAGTGGCTTTCTACGAATGCAATTATCATACGTCTTGACTTTTCTCTCCACATCGCCAGCAATCTTCGGCCAATTAAATCTGATTTTCACAAGATCAGGAGTATGGTCCACACTCGTGTGACCCATGTTATCATGGAGACTTTGCAGAGCTACAGTGCCGAGCTCTTCAGATAAGACAAGCTGATATGTTGGACAATTCTAAGTGTCTGCGATACAGAATCTGCTTATGTACCCTGAAATGACTCCACTGCCATAGCAGACAGGTAATTTGGGGTAGCTCTTTCCGGACAGCTGAAACTAACTTTTCATCACTCTCTTTGTCTCAAAAATGAGGAGTGACAGGTAGACCACTATGTTGGGTTTTTGTTCACAAAACTGTCCAAGACAGCATTTGGAGAGAATGTTAGTGACTGTACCAGGGCTACATTACCATCTTCATGCATGCCCTCACTGATTAACCTCACTGTTGTTAACTAGATGCTAGATGCTGAGATATTGTATCATTAGTTAACCCACCATGAGGTCTCCTTGAAAGACCATCTGCATCAGAATTCTGTTTGCCTGCTCTGTATTTGAGCTTAAATGTGAAAGTTGACAAAGCTGCCAGCCAACTATAACTTGTTGCATCCATCTTGGCAGTAGTATTGATCTATGTCAAGAGATTACTATCAGTTATGACAGTAAAGTGGCTCCCGTACAAGTAGTCATTAAACTTTTCAGTTACTGCCCACTTCAGTGCTGGAAATTCAAGTTTGTGTGCTGGGTACTTTGATTTGCTGTGCAACAACCCCCTACTAGCATATGCGATTAAACTCTCAGAATCCTAGGGGACACACAAAAGCAGGCTTTGGTTTGTCAGCCTGTTCCACCTCAATCTGGTAATGCCCAGATTTTAAATCAAGCACTGAGAACCATTGTGATCTGGTACAAGCAGAGAATGTTTCTTCCAAGTTTGGGAGTGCATATGCATCTTTTACAGTCTGGAGGTTTAACTTCCGATAATCTATATGGTGGCAAACCTCTCCATTCTTTTTCCTTACCACTACTATGGGGGATGAGTAGGGGATTCGGATTTCCGGATCATGTCAACTAAAGGGTGTTTCATCAGAGAGCTTAATATGATGGTTCACTCTGTCACTTCTTCCAAAATCCAAATCATTCTGTCAGTCAGCAAGATGTCAGGCATGCTGTTTAGTAACTTTGAGATGCTCCCCTTCCACTCAGCAGGGATTGGAGAATTGCCAAAATTAAAACTCAAATTGGACTTTTTAATAGGATTAGGCTCTGCTGCAATAGCACTGTGTTACTGGTAGAGGACTGTCTGGATGGCATTAAACTCAGCAACAATGCAGTTCTGAGGAAAAACTATATTGTGTTTGGATTGATTTTGTAATATCAACAAGACGGTTTCACAAGCAACCCCCTTGGGAGGGAGGACCAAGTAGGGTGTTTCAGTGGTGTGTCCATTTACTACGACACAAACCTCCAGGACTACATTTTGGCCAGCAGGTATTAACTGTGTGTTTTTGTCATGGAACTTAACTAGCCCAAAGTCATTGCCTTTGTGTTGTTGGTGTCTAAGTTCAAGGACCTTTAATAATGCTTTATAACCATATGAAATTGACACTGGTGTTTCAGCATTCATTAGTGGTCTCATACAGACCATGGAGCGTGTTGGTGCCAATCAGCACAAGGGGTTGAGAACTGGCCCAAGTATCAGGAACAACTAGAGCAAGTATTGGAACTAGGTTTAACTTAACTGACCCTGCCCTTAGGAGGACTTTAAAAAGCAACTACTGTTCATAGGAAACAACACTAGCTCATGTGCTCCTGTAGAAAAAAATTGTGTTTTCTAGTCTAAAGTTGAGAGGTAAGCAGACTGGTCTACTGAATACTAGTAGTATTTTAACAGTTGTCTCACTTGTAGGCTGATGTACAAATTGATTTCAACTGCCGAATATGAAGATGCACAGTAGCTTTTTAAGGTTTCTGATCAAAATGAGC